AATTAGAAGACCAACTTGAGGCATAGAAATAATCAATTATGGAACAATATAAACGGGGTTTTATTCATTAAGGTGACTTGACCTGCCTCTCCTTGAAGAGGTTCAGGATCTTACATTGATCTTGTTTCTTGCTCCACTTATGGAGTATATCTTTCTATTTTTGGAGTATTCAGAGTTGTGTCGAAGAAGAAGCCCCCCTTGGGAGGTTCTCTCTCTTGGTATTTATAGCCTCGGGCTTTTTCATCTGGTCACGAATGAGCCCCTCCTTTTGTTGCGGAGACGTCCCCTCATTTGTTTTAAGGACAGCTGTCATAAGTCAAGAGTCAGCGGCGTTGACCATTTACTACAAAGTGGTCGTGATGGGGTTGACCCCCTGGTCGCAAAATGGCCGAATATCTGCCAATACATAACCAATTGACGTAATTCCAAATCCTAACATAATAATGTTGTCTGATAACTTTATTACATAAAATTCAATTACATGAATCTAACACTATTCTTGTTCCCTTGTTGATACTAGAGAAGTAGAAATTTTCATGTTTGGTTTAATATTATTTACTTTTTTAATGAAGAACTTTTCCCAAGAAAAATGAGGTTGTGAATTCAAGGACGATCCTAAAACGCAAATGACCATGCAGAGACATTCGGATTAAATAAAAGAGAGCTGCTATTCGGCCAAACTCAGCGTGGCCCAAAAATGACCACACTGGTCAAATACCACTAAAGCCCTTCATTTCACATTTGGCTTAATGGCCATTTTTCCTCCAAAATATTTCCCTCCAAAATTAGTTTATAAATACTGATTATCCCAAAACATTGGTCCCATAAATCATCATTCTCTCATGGGAAGATTAACCAACTTCATATGTATACCTATACTATTACGTATTTATTTTATTTTTAAATAAAACTTATACGGATAGGAAGATCAAAAGCCTTCATATATGTATACCTATACTATTACGTATTTTTTTAAAATACAATTTATACGATGGGAAGATCAAAAATCTAGTATCTATATATAATATTATTTTTTATACGGTATACAAACTTATACCATACACTTATGTTAAGAAAGCCTTCATTAAACGCATATATCACCACCCTTCCCCCTAACCTAAACATGAATGCTAACCTAGAAACTAGTTTGGAGCCATTAAACATGGAAAATAAAACATACATTAAAGAATAATGTTTGTGACATATTTTTACGAATATTCAAAGAATAATGCATATTCTTTGAACATAAAGCTAAAAAAAGATACATAAAAATTTTTACGAATATTTTTAAGATACAAAAATACATTGAAGAATACTTGGACAATATTTTTACGAATATTCAAAGAATAATGCATATTCTTTGAAGAAAAAACTAAAAAAAGATACAAAAATGATATAGCACGTTGATGAGGTAGTTGTCAAATAGCCGTTTATAATAAGGTCATTCGTATCGACCTATAGCTACCATATAAGTCCATTAACTAATACGGTTGTAGTCATATAACCTATGCTAATTATATCGTTGTGATTCATAGTAATATCGGCTGCTTGTATAATAGCCGGTTATATTAGTTTCATTCATTAAGGTCATTCGTATCGGCCTATAGAAACCATATAAGTCCATTGACTAATATGGTTGTAGTCATATAACCTATGCTAATTATATCGTTGTGATTCATAGTAATATCGGTCGCTTGTATAATAGTCGTCTATATAATTTCATTCATTAAGGTCATACGTATCGGCCTATAGCAACCATATAAGTCCATTGACTAATATGGTTGTAGTCATATAACCTATGCTAATTATATAGTTGTGATTCATAATAATATCGACCGTTTATATAATAGGTGGTTATATTAATTTCAATCATTATGGTCATACGTATCGGCCTATAGCAACCATATAAGTCCACTNTGGGTACCGTTGTGGTGTACTCATGCCCTTTCCTGCACATGTTTTTCGTGTGCAGATCCAGGTTCTTCTGCTCAGCCATTCTATCAATGAGGCGGGCGATATCGGAGACTTCGAGGTATATCTACCGCATTCGCAGACCTAGAAGTCCCTCTATATTCTTCCCTTTAGCTTAGTTATGTTGGTCCGTATTGCAGCCTTGGAGGAGGAGTAACCGGCGACTGCAGAGTCAAGCTGGTTCGTCACATACTGTCGTTTCCCACCAGGCTCACGAACTTTGGGGTTTATGCCGAAGCTCAACGCGATGTTTACAAGAACTTATTGGAGGCGGGTGTTGTGACCGAGACCGTCTTCGAGGTGGCACGCCAGAAGGCTCGTGAAGCTCGTGCCGACTGTGGTTATGATGTGGCGACGCCCGAGGCTAACAATGGCGCGAGTGGTGGAGACGATGACGGCGGTGGTAGCGCCGAGTGAAGAAAAGATTTATCGTTGCTTGTTGTTTTTCTTTATACCCCGTTTGTCGGTCGGCGCTCGGTTATTTCTTTGTTGTTTTTCCTGTATTTTTCTTTCTTGTCTCGACCGGCCAAGGCCGGATGTAAGCGGGGAGTACCCGCGTTCCTAACTCTGTAGACAATTGTACTCTTTTTTTCCATCATTTGTCTCGCGCTTTACTCTGTCTTCCGTTTTTCTCTTTTTCTTTTATGGATATGTTCGGAGGGACGATCAGCCCTTGAATTCGATCGAGGTCGTCATGTCAGTTTTGGATTGATAATGACGGCTTTTTGGCCTGACATGAACGGGGAGGGGCGGTCACCTTGTAATGACGGCAATTGGTTTTTCTTCGCCCCAGCCCTAGTGCGGCTGAGGTTGACCCTAATAAATTTGAAAGCGAAGGCACTTGGCCTGAGCCCTAGTTTGGCTGAGGTCGAACCCAATATATTTTGAGGGCGAGGGTGCTTAGCCTGAGCCCCGGTTTGACTGAGGTCGAATCCTGATATATATTTTGATGGCGAAGGCACTTAGCTAGAGTCCCGGTTCGACTGAGGTCGAACCTGATATGTTTTGACGGAGAAGGCACTTGGCCTGAGTACCGGTTCGACTGAGGTCGAACTTGATATATTTTGATGGCGAAGGCACTTGGCCTGAGTCCTGGTTCGACTGAGGTCGAACTTGATATATTCTGATGGCGAAGGTGCATGGCTTGAGTCCCGGTTCAACTGAGGTCGAACTTGATATATTTTGATGGCGAAGGCACTTGGCCTGAGTCCTGGTTCGACTGAGGTCGAACCTGATATATTCTGATGGCGAAGGCGCGTGGCCTGAGTCCCGGTTCGACTGAGGTCGAACTTGATATATTTTGATGGCGAAGGCACTTGGCCTGAGTCCCGGTTCGACTGAGGTCGAACTTGATATATTTTGATGGTGAAGGCACTTGGCCTGAGTCCCCGTTCGACTGAGGTCGAATCCTGATATATTCTGATGGCGAAGGCACTTGGCCTGAGTCCCGGTTCGATTGAGGTCGAACCTGATATATTTTGATGGCGAAGGCACGTGGCCTGAGTCCCGGTTCGACTGAGGTCGAACTTGATATATTTTGATGGCGAAGGCACTTGGCCTGAGTCCCGGTTCGACTGAGGTCGAACTTGATATATTTTGATGGTGAAGGCACTTGGCGTGAGTCCCGGTTTGATTGAGGTCGAACTTGATATATTTTGATGGCGAAGGCACTTGGCGTGAGTCCCGGTTCGACTGAGGTCGAACCTGATATATTTTGATGGCGAAGGCACGTGGCCTGAGTCTCGCTCCTGGCTTGAGGCAGCCCTGTGCTGGTTTCCGACCTGACACCACGTTAGGGGTGAAGGAAATGCCTCATACTTTTGTTCTGAGGGAGAGGGGCTTCTTCCTCTTGTGTGGTTGTTTTCGGATCTCAGTTTCCTTTGATGCATTCGAGTATTACGTGCTCGATGTGCTTCCTCTGGTCTGTCTTAGTTGGATTGCTTTCTTCTCTTCTTTTTTTGACGTTCCTTTGGCTTCGATTCCAGGGAGAAACTATGTGATTTTGCTAGGAAATTCCCTCAGACGGTGCCAAATTGTTTGACTGAAAATTATCGAATACTTTTCAAGCAAATCAATCGAAATAATTCAAAGGGTAAATCATAGCTAATCATAATTAATCACTGAATTAGAAGACCAACTTGAGACACTGGAATAATCAAGTATGGAGCAATTTAAACGGGATTTTATTCATCAAGGTGACTTGACCTGCCTCTCCTTGAAGAGGTTCAGGATCTTACATTGATCTTGTTTCTTGCTCCACTTATGGAGTATATATTTCTATTTTTGGAGTATTCAGAGTTGTGTAGAAGAAGAAGCCCCCCTTGGGAGGTTCTCCCTTGGTATTTATAGCCTCAGGCTTTTTCATCTGGTCACGAATGGGCCCCTCCTTTTGTTGTGGAGACGTCCCCTCGTTTGTTTTAAGGACAGCTGTCATAAGTCAAGAGTCAGCGGCGTTGACAATCTACTACAAAGTGGTCGTGATGGGGTTGACCCCCTGGTCGAAAAATGGCGGAATATCTGCCAATACAATTACCACTTGTAAATCTGGCTATTTTTTAATTTCACCCTGGAAAAGGGGGTATATATTGGAATTAGTAGGTTCATATATGAGGATTTGAAACTTAATTAAGGAGCTACTTTCTCAGTCTCAAATTATCTGTCGCATTTCTCTTTTACACGTCCCTTAAGAAAATATTAATTATAAGGGATTTGGATTATTTTACCCTTATTTATGTCTTAAGATATAATATCTCTTTATTAAATATTTATTTTAGTTATGTGCTATCTCCATTTTCAAGAACAATTACTATTAAGTGCAAAATAAGAAAAATTTTTTTTATCTTGGTCTTCTAAAATGACAAGTAGCTTGACATAATTGCTTTTAGATATCACGGAAGAAAAAAGCAAATTCAAGGATTAGAACAAGAAAATAGCAAAGGGCAAAGCCGTCATTGCAAAAGAAATCGGAATGGACCATGTGCTCATAAACTAAGAAGTCCTCAAATCATTGAAACCTGTTTTTTGTATCAGTTTGAAGTTGTGGATACTAATAAAAGACATCATTCATGTTAGAGTCTTCCTAAAATTTCCCATTGGAGGATACACAAATTCTGACAATTTGTGTCAGCTTAGTCCTGAAACACCCTTTTCCCCCTATCAATTTCCTTCAAAATCCTGCAGTATAAGAAGTTGTACAGATACTAAAAGCACCATTAATGGTGAGTCAAGAAAGTCAATCTTAAGAATTTTCCCCATTTTGAAGAAGCACATGTTCTGACAAAAAGACTTAAGTCTTGAATTTCATTATTTTTTCAAACACTTTTCTGTAAGGATTCTTGAGTTAATGGAACTGATACCTTACTCAGACCCAAAGTCTGAATCAAGCTGTGTTAATCCACCTTGGGAAGATATGTTTAGATCAGCCTCAATGAGGAAACCAGAAGAACCAAAACCACAGAACCAGCCACCTTCTGAACCTCAGCCAACAAACCCCACAAAGGAAAATAACTCAACAGATGAGAATTCTTTGTCTTCTGATCCTCAGGTACGTTTAGCCCTTTACATAGCTATGGCTCATGCTGGACTTGTATTCACAATTTTCATTATTTATGGAGTTGGTAAATTGCTTGAAGAATATTTGAGAGCTATGTTATGGGCTGTACTATGTTCAATTCCTTTAAGGGGAATTCAGCAAACCCTTGTTGCATTTTGGTCTGAACCTTTAAAGTTAGGCCTTACTGAGACCATTTTGGCTGTTCCTGTGGCTGTTTTTAGAGTCTTTCTTGGGACCCTTGTTGATATTAAGGATAAGATTTTCAGGGTTGTTCTTAGGAGACCTAAAGTTAACGCGTCGAGGCGTCATACTAGTGGATTTTTCATTTTGTTGAAGTGGCTTGTGTCTTTTTGGGTGTTTGTGATTGCTTATGAGCAGATTGGTGGAATGGGGTCAGTTGCTCTTCTTGCGTTGGGATTTATGTTTACGGCTAACAGTGTGGATTCCACTATGAATGCAGTAACATCTTTTAGAAGTCATAGCTTTCGTAGATTCCCCATCACTGCTTTCTTTACTAGAGGGATATTGAAAAAATTGAAGACTATCGTGGCGATTGGTTTGATTGTTGGATTGAGTGTGGGTTCTTTGGCAGGTATGATTTTCTTCTCTTATAAAATTGGTGTTGAGGGGAAAGATGCAGTTATTGCATTGAAATCCCACGTAGAGGAAAGTAATTATGCTGAGAAAATTGGTGTTAAGCAATGGATGGATGAAAATGATGTCCCGGGGATGGTGGATAAGTACACCTCTCAAATGTACGAGACAGTATTTACCCAAATAGATAGCTATGCTATGCAATATAATATGACAGAGTTTGTTTCTGGAATAAAACATTTTGTAATAGCCCCTGCAAACAACTCATTTAATCACTCCACCGCTTTGGCATCCCCTTCTCCATATGCAGAGAAATTCTTAAGCATAAAAAGAAGGATTAAGGATCGAGAATGGGCACAGATATATACAGAAGTGGATGTTATGTTCAGGGAACTGCTGATCACTAGAGAGGACTTGGTTGAGAAGGCTAAGGGGTTTGCTCTTCAAGGAGTAAATGTAATGCAACGGATACTTGTTAGTAGCACATCCGTCTTAGGTGGAAGCATGAAAGTCGTGTTCTTGATTGGGAATTCCATAGTTTCAGGTGCTGCTGGTCTTTTTAATTTTGTATCTCAGCTAATGGTATTCATATGGGTACTTTATTATCTTATCACGTCGGATTCTGGTGGAGTAACAGAACAGGTGATTAGTATGCTCCCTATGTCACATTCTGCAAAGAGGCGAAGTGTTGAGGTTCTTGACAAAGCTATTTCTGGGGTTCTTTTAGCAACTGCTGAGATTGCACTCTTTCAGGGATGCCTGACTTGGCTCTTGTTCAGATTATTCTCCATACATTTTTTGTACATGTCGACAATCCTTGCATTTCTTAGTCCTTTGTTTCCTATTTTCCCGTCACTGTTCTCAACTATCCCAGCAGCTTTACAGTTGGTGCTTGAAGGTCGATATGTATTGGCCGTCAGCCTATCCATTATACATCTTGTGCTTATGGACTATGGTACATCCGAAATTATGGAGGATATCCCTGGCTATAATGCGTATCTCACTGGTCTCAGCATTATTGGGGGAATGACATTGTTCCCTTCAGCAGTTGAGGTAATTAACCGACATCACTCTCTCTTGAATTTCCATTATGAATTTCCTTGCATCACATGTGTTAGCTGTGAAAGGTTTGTCATGTTGTCCTCTTGTTGAGTATGAGAAAAGAAGCGAACCTGGAGAATTTGTGACTGCCATGGATCAGCTATTAATATATCTTCCATATTAGACAGAAAAATATTAGTAACTTTCTTAAATCCTTTATCTACCTGTCAAAAAGGGAACAAGATTTCAGCTCTTTTATGTTCTGACTGTCACATGAGATAGCATAACAGGAATGGCAATAATACCGTTAGGGAAAGAAGCTACGAGTCCCTTATTCTTAACTCCAATCATTCTATAGATCATCATGGTCTTGGAACTAGAGTCTCCTTATTTCACTCAAGATGATTTTATTACCACAAGTGTTTCAAGTGGCTTGATAGAATACCTTTACAAAATTTCTAGCACCAAATGATGAGTCCTTGCAAAAATAATGAGTCAGTAATAAAGAAAGATTTCAGGAAGTCTGATGCATCTTTAGGTGCATACTCAATACTGGAAACACAAAGATTGTAAATTTCCTTACAGCAGCATTCGGAAAAAGAACGTTTAATGGAGTATGCCCTAACTGGTTTAATGGATTTAAAGGTAGTGTCTTTGAGTTTTTGTTTTTATTTTTGTTTTTGTGAAGGGAACACACATTTAATAAACAAGCGAGCCAAAATAGAGTTACTTCAGGGAAACATCCCTGTTCTCTAAATGAGAAACATCAAAATAAAGAATAGAAGCTAAATATGATGGATAGGAATCCCAAGTAACACGAGTTGCATACGATAAAGCTACCCGAGCAAGAAATTGTCTGAAGAGTTTTGATATTAGTTTTTGTGTATATGTTGCGCAGGGAGCAATAATGGGGCCACTGATGACTACTGTTGTGATTGCACTTAAAGATTTGTACGTTGAGTTTGTATTGGAAGAAAAGAAGGAATAAGTAGAACAAAAAATCCATATCCTTTGAAGACGTTGAGAAGGGCGCTGCCACTTTGCTTGATGGAAATACATTGCAATATAAACTGAATTCTTTTTTTCTCCCAGTCATCTGTATCCCACATGTGATAGGCTTTTATCATCCGTGTTGTGTTCTCCACAAATTGGGTTGAGGTTTTTTCTCTGTTGATAGTGTGCAGAAGTTGCTAGCTCCTTTAAATATTTAATTTGTATACAATTGTGTATCCTCTTTGTAAAACTTTGAAGAGAAAATTTTTCAGTGTTTCGAATGCCTTTATGTCTAGCTCGTGACATGTGCTAAAGATCACCTTTAACCAATTCACTGTCAAATGTTATGACCTAAAGTTAGATTCAACAAACCACAATCTGAAATACAGCTAGGAGACAGGTGGTGTTTCCCAGTGATAAAAGCAGCGTAAGTTGTATGACTTCTGAATCAGATGCATTTTCAAACCATGATACATGTTAAATTAACTGCAAAATTCTTTTCTTTTTCTTTTTCTTTTTCTTTTGCTTTCGCCCTAATCAATTCAAATTATAAGAGGAAAGGACAAAATCGGAAACAGAAATGTATTCCCAAACAATTTCTCATTGTGAATAGCTAGTTTAAAAATGACAATATTACATGGAGTTGAATGTTTCCACAGAATGAGGTAGAGACATTTGAGAAACAACTCAACAAAACTATCCACTAGGCGCTAAAGTTTGTTGCTTGCCTTTTTTCACATTAAATCCTATTATCATTTCATGTATTTCTGCAGGAACTTCCTATGAAAGTCATTCCGAATGGTGTCATTTATAAAGCGCTTGGCCGCCTTCAGTTCCCCGCGAGCCTGATTCTTGAAGACCACATCATCATCCCACCTAAAGAGAATAAATTAAAGCCAAATGTGGTAAATTTTACACTAAAGTAAAGCTAAAGAATCTTAAATAAGCCATATCTTAAGGGGTCAACCTTCTCTTCACACTGAAAGATGTTGGCTGGTTTAATAGAGGGTTTCCCTTCAACAGTTCTGCTTCCTTTGCTTTAAGCTCCTCCTCTTGCTCTTGCCGTTCCTGCCAAAAAGACAGAACTTAGAGTTTATACCAATGTTATTTAAATCTCTGAATGGAAATTTTACACAGTTCCTGAAGCTATTCCCACAGAGAATGAATACGACCAATTAAACTACAGAGAAATATAGTTCAAGTAACAAAAAAAATAAAAATTGAAGAACCAACATATAAATTGATAAAGAAACTATTGAGCATTTAGTTATACTTACTTTCCGAAGTTTCTCCTCAGCTTTTTCCTTCTTTATCTGTTCAAGCTCTGCCAGGAGAGCCTCTGTATCATCTTCATCATCATCGTCCTCACTAATCAGTGTAAACAACTTTTAAGTTTTTGAAGTAACAAAATAATACAATTTTTAAGCAAAGCTACAGTAAGGGGGAACCGCATCAAGGACGGACTGGTAGTATTCATCTGATACATGGCTACATGCATTCTATAACAACTTTTTGATCGTACAACAAAAACTGCATACCCACCACTGCCTCTTTGCAAAATATTATCCCTAATATATCAATGGAAAATTATCAGGCATACCCATGTTTGTACAAATAGGGAACGAGGTACAAACCTCTCATCATCACTTTTGACGTCAGCATCAGCATCATCAGCGTCAGCACTGCGTGGAATAATGCGATCTTCAATCTCTCTTTTGCCCCCTGCAGCACAATGTCATATAATAATGGATACTCAGAGTCAAATTTGAAATCCTAGACCAGTCTAATGAATAAACAGCACTCACCTTCTAAAAGGAGTTGACCACCCTTTCTCCGGTCTCTGTCCTCTACAACAAAATAGAGTACAAGTTTAAGAGTTGAACAAAATCAGATTGGATTAGCATGCGTCAGTATGTGTTTTTTTATCAGGTAAAGTTAGCATGCGTCAATATATGTGTTTGTATCTGTTTCTGTATGTGTGCGTGTGTGTCTGTGTGCAAGACATAGAGAGTGTCCACATTTCACATACCATAGCCTTTATCTTTTGAAGAGAAGTGTCTCCGCTCACGGTCTTCTAACTCTTCCCGGAGGTTTCTCCTCTGTAACTCATCCTGAGTGTCCTGTCCGTCCTTTCTGTGTCATGCATGACAATGGAAACATAATTTAATTTGGAATGATGATACAATTTAGAGGACTACCAATTTAAGTTACTGAGGCACAATCATTAATGGGATAGAGAAACGCCTTGTTTCTGCCATGCATGATAACGGTATCGAGTTTAATTTAGACTCGTGATACAAATCAGAAGACAACCAACTACATTGCCTTAATGAGAAACTCAATTGAGTTAAAAAAATACAGTCTCAATTTCATATACCATGAAGTACGACTACTGGAAGTTCATCAAACAGTTTGACACAAAGTACAGCGCATAATTCATCCTGTTTCTGACGCAAATATATTCTTTCAGCCCTCAGACAACTTTAGATCAAAATTGTTTCTACTTGAAAGTGACACAAATAAAACTCATTACAACACCAATTAATGATCTAATTTTTTATAACCGAGAAATCCTGGAGGGCCAGCTGGCGCACAGTTAAAAATTCAACGGATAATGGGCCCCCTTTTACCCTACTCACTTACATACCAAACTTTTGTTCGTGGCAGGATTCGAACTCGTGATGTACATGGGCCCCTTTTACCCTTCTCCACGTGAATACCAAGCTTTTGTTCGCGGCAGGGTTCGAACTTGTGATGTGCGCCTAATCCACACATCATGAGCTACGTTTGTAAGGTTGAACCAAAGCCCTCGGGCACCTATTAATGATCCAATTCATACCATGAACTGCAATACCTAGATAACAAGGACATAAGATATCATAAACTATGCATCCTTTTCTAATTCTGGCATTCATGTAATACAAAGATCCTTGTCATATTATGGTTTTGCTAAATTCATCCTTGACACATAAATTTTCAACAACTCGAATGCAGAAAGACCGATCATTTTGCCCATATAGGGTAGAAATAAGAATACATATTTTATTTATATCATAAATGTGATCTTTCTCTTGCAAATATTGACTTCACAAGGACTTCCCAGTTACTTCTATGCGGAAACCATGTCTATTTGGAAGCTACAACGAGAGAATATATATATCAATGGAATTGCCAACCATTGCAGAATCTAAAAGAGTACACATTATCATTATCAGCTACAATTATTATTGAGACCAAGAAATCCCGCAGCCTTAGAAACTCAGGGATAATGGGCCCACCCCTCTACCTTCTCCAGGCTTAGTTCGCATGACGCAGGACTCGAACCTGTGACCTAATTCACAAGTCCCTCAACAATTATATTCAATGTAACCTTCCAATTGCGTTTAGTTGCGTTTTAGCATACGCCACTTCACATCAGATATCTACACACACAATAACCAAAAAGCTCACTACTGAGCTAGGTAACTTGAGCAAGCCACAAAAAGTTCCATCTTTTGCATTTTCGGAAGCCATCAATACCCCTTACAACAATAAAAGGAAATAGAAGATCCTCATCGAATTCAATTTAGGATCGTCACAGTAAAATAGTTTTTGTACAGTGCCACAACCTCCAACAAAGTTCATCCACCAGTGTAGGATAAATCAAAGTCATGCAACTTTTGCTTCTAAATTACACTCTAGTTATGTCTCTGTGTTGCTTCTAACACAAGAATATCTCCAATATTTTTTGCTAGAACTTCTAGAAACTAAGAAGATAAAATATACAAGTCTTAACAAATATTAGCCTACTGACAAGACTCTCCTTTTTTTTTTTTTTTTTGGGGGGGGGGGGGGGGGGGGGTCACTTAAGAACTCTATGTCAAAGTAACCTCCAAATTATAGAATCATCACCATTAGCACCTCCCTTCGATTTAACCAGCTGGGTTACGACATTCTTCTGTTCTTTTACCCCATATAAAGGATAAAAGAAGTGCCATAAAAGTTTAAAAACAAGCATTAAATAAACAAAAGAAGAGAATCAGACAAGAATAAAAACCTGGGCTTTAAAGTAGTGTGAGATGCAATGTCTCTGGAAGAATATTTCTGAGATGGACCAAAAATTCGAGTTCCACCTTGTTCATTGCCACCTTTAGCTGGCGCCCATGTAGGTCTAGCTGCTGTTGTCATACTTCAAAATTCTCCTCCACCAAATCTATCGATTAAAACAACTTCGTTACCCAATATAAACAATAAAAGACAAAAAATTAAATGCAAAACAAATTAAATTAGGGCAAAAGAAACACTAAGATAATTCAATGCAATAGAACCCTTGAAACAACATTGATTTGCCGCAGTGTAAGATGGATGAGCCCTAAAATTGCAATTTGAAAATCGGATTTTCGATTACCTAACGAGTGACGAGAATCAATGGCAGAATCAGAGAGATGATTGAGGTGGGGACTTCGGATTTGGTTCGACCCGATTCGCACCGAAGGGAGAACGGAAGAAGGCACTGTAGAATACAAAAAACCAAGGGAAGTATATTCCCTATAACTACTCTTACAAAATTACTTTTAGTGCAATATAAAATCTTATCTTTTTAATTAAATTATGTACAACTTTTCATATCCTGAAATATCTCCCTCTTACTTAAAAGTTATCTCTTTCTGATTCCCTCTCGCCTAACATATTTATCACTATCAAATTTCCCATCAATTTCTCCAGTAAAAGATATTCCAATATATCACAAGCGTCTATTCCCTTTTTTTCCGTTCCATATAGTCTGTGTAGGCCAAAATGCATAGAAAACACACTTCTCAAAAAATTATAGCGATCCGACCAGTTGTTTTGCTTTCTAAATCCCCGTTCTCATAATTAAGACTCCTCGTATGTGCTTTTCCTGTTTACTCACTTGCGGGGATGGTTAGTTTGGGTTTGAAAGGGTTAAGGTTGAAATCGGAACACTTAGTTCCTTAATAGTGGCCTATGATGGCCAAGTTTGACTTGAGTCAAAATTTTCAGTAAACGACCCCGGAACCGGAATTTGATAGTTCCAATAGGTTCGTATGATGATTTTGGACTTGAGCGTGTGTTCGAATCGGTTTTCGGGTGATCCGGAGGCGTTTCGGCGCTTAATGTTGAAAGTTGGTTCACCAAGGGTTTTCTAGTTCTTTAAGTTTGGTTTGGGGTAGACTTTGGTGTTATCGAGGTCCGTTTAGGATTCCGGGCCTGGAAATAGTTCTGTATGATGATTTATGACTTGTACGCAAATTTGGTGTCATTCCGAGTAGTCTAAGTATGATTCGGGGCGTTCGGAGATAGTTGAAAAGTTTGAAGTTCATAAGTTGATTCAATTTGGTTTTGGGGTGCGATTCTTAATTTCGACGTTGTTTTACGCGTTCCGAGGGTTCAAGCAGGTCCGTATTATATTTATTGACTTGTTGGTGCAGTTGGACGGGGCCCCGAATGGCTCGGGTGTGTTTTGGACTCCCCGGAGCTAAGTCCAAAACTGCTGATATGATGATTCTGGTTTCCTTCTTCGCGAAAGCGAAGATCCTCTCGCGTTCGCGATGAAAGATTTGGGGACTGGGTGTTTTTGCTCTTCGCGTTCGCAAAGAAAGAGTTGCGTTCGCGGAGGCTTGGAACCAGTGGCCTTCGCTTTCGCGATTGCCGTGTCGCGTTCGCGTAGAAGGCCTGGGCCTTGGCAACCTAGTTGCCTTTCGTGTTCGCGAGTGGAGGCCCGCGTTCACGATGAGAGGGCGGCTCAGTGCCTCGCGTTCGCTAGAGTCTTCTCGCGATTGCGAAGAAGACTTTCTGGGCTTGGGAGCTTTTGCCTTCGCGATTGCGAGGCTCCTTCCACAATCGCAAAGAAGGGTCAACTGGGCAGTGACTTTATTAAAATCGTGAATTTGGCCATTTTGTTCATTTCTCACATTTCTTGATTGATTTTGGAGCTTCTTGGAGAGGGGTTTTCACCTAGCTATTGAAGGTAAGTGATTTGTATACCATGCAAATTAAATACATAGATTATGGATAGATCTTAACATGAAAAATATGAAAATTTTAGGGGTTTGTTGAAAAACCTAGGTTTTGATAAAAATAATATTAGACCATGAAAATGATTATGGAATTGGGTAGAAATTGTATATTTGTGTTTGTGAGATTATGAGTAACTATTATTTACAAAAATTTCAGAAATCCAAGCACGTGGGCCTGATGTTTGGCTAAAAATCCATATTTTTGCATGTCATTGACCTTGCATTATACCTCGATTTTGTTAATTTTTGTGTAAATATTTGTGACTCGAGCGTAATAATATTATTTATATGTTGGAAGTGATTCGGAAGTTTTCATGCAAATTGTAGTAAAAAAAGGAAGAATTTAGTTGAAGTATAAGTTTGGTGCCTCGGTCCCGGACACCGAAGCGAGGTCACTTCACGAGACCGGGACTGGAGCAGAAAATTTCAGCTTCTCCTAGCCGAATTAGGAGAAGCCCAAATTCGCCCCAACAAACCCTAGCCGCTATAAATACATCAGAAAAATGTGCTTTTAAAGGGGGAGACATTGCTTTGGAAGGAGAGAACACTTTGGAAACATTATTTGGAGGCAAGAACATCACGTGAAACAACTTTTGGAGGAGAAAATCATCGAGTTCTTCGTTCCTTCATCTTTTCTTTGTAATTGTTTATGCAAAATACTTAAAAAATTGTTACTACCAACATGAGTGGCTAAGCACTCTAATTTCTAGGGTCGTGGTTGACATGATTATTAACGTTTATTAATTACATCTTCGTTAATTCGGATTATCATTTTGTGGTAATAAAAAATTAACACATACATAAATTAAACTTTATGTATGTGTTAATTTTGTATTTTGAATTGGATAGAGGAATTGCTATTGGATAAAACAAAAGCTCATTATAATTTCCTCAAAGGATTTCTCTTGGATGTATCTTCCCCCGATTATAATGTAGAAGCTGAAAATCAACTTAAAGAAGTAGTGAGTTATATGTTAATTTCATGGTTTTGTCTTTTTTTTTTTTTTAAAAAAAATTTAATCATGTATTTTCTTAATAGCTTAAGTTGGATCGGACATTGCTCGAAGCAATTATCTTTTAGTTAGCAATGATTGAAATAAGAATGTTGGAAGAAAATGGTAATTATTTATCACAATATCTTTTATTTCTTGTTAAATATAGTCTCTAGTTATTTATTGATTTCATTTTTAGGCGGTGACATTGCCGAAGAAGTGGTTGATGAATGTATAGGTCATGCAAAGAGAGCAGTTGAGCTGGATGTAGGTTATGGTACATCATGGTGTAAGTGTAATAGAAGTAGTAGAGAAGTTGACATTTTAACTGTAGTATTGATCATTATCCATTACCAAAATTTGGTTAAATCCAAATTCCCCTTTCTTTAATGATCATATGTTTTGGCAGATATTCTAGAAATGCATATACTACTGCATTTATTGTGAGGGGTTACAGACACAGAGAAAATGTTCAGTTGGCATACAAAGCATACAAGAGGGTGGTGATTATGCGTCTTGCCAATTGGCATAAAGCTTCCATACAATATGCCTACTCCATAATTAGTCTGCAGCTTCTCTGTTATCGTTTTTCTCATGAGCTTTAGATTATTTGCTGACTGCATAAAGGTTGTCACGTTTCTTAACTGCATTTCTTACTCATAGACCTCTTCTAACTTTGTGTTCTGCTTCAAACGCTAGATGAGAAGATGGTTAATGTTGATTGCCAAAAATTGTCCCACATCGGTGGAGGACCAAATTGGTTGGGAATTTTTCCCTATAAAAGGAGGCCGAATGTTTAGGATTTAAACACACCTCTCATTTGCCTTCTTATCTTCTTATGGTATTTGTATCTTCTCTCTTTAGTATTATTTCACTTGTATTTTTGGAGTGGAATAAAATATTGTTTGTGTCCGAGGAAGTAGGCAAAATTGGCCGAACCTCGTAAATTCTGGTGTTCCTTTTATTGTTGCTTTATTGTCTTATTTATTATTTGGTGGCTGTCATAATTTTTGGTATAGTAGTTGTGACTCATTCACACTATATACATTTGGCTTCCGCAACAATTGGTATCAGAGCCAAGGTACTGTCTAAGTATGCTCTGTGGTTGCAGCTTAGTGTGATCTTCCACACCAGAAAGGAAATAATCTTGATTTGTGTCGTCAACTATTAAATAATATTTGTGTCAAAGATGGGAGACAATAAACAAAAATAATCTACATCAAGTGTCAACAATACGTCATCATTGGCATCTTCGCTTATGACAAGAATTGTGTCAAATGCGAAATTTACGGTAGAAATTTTTGACGGGTCAGGACATTTTGGGATGTGGCAAGGCGAGGTTCTAGATGTCCTTTTTCAACAAGGGCTAGATCTTGCCATTGAAGAAAAAAGACCAGATGTTATTGGAGAAGAAGATTGGAGAATTATCAACCGTGTTGCTTGCGGTATCATTCGATCCTACCCTGCTAGAGAGCAGAAATATCCATACACAAAGGAAACTTCTGCAAGTAAATTATGGAAGGCAATGGAGGATAAATTTTTGAAGAAAAATAGTCAAAATAAATTTTACATGAAGAAGAGACTGTTTCGCTTCACCTATGTTCCTGGTACCACAATGAATGAACATATCACCAGTTTCAATAAGTTGGTCACAGATTTGCAAAATATGGATGCAACTTTTGATGATGGTGACTTGGCCTTGATGTTGTTGGGGTCACTTCCTGATGAGTACGAGCACCTTGAAACTACTCTACTCCATGGGAATGACAAAATTTCTCTCATAGAAGTTTGTTCGGCTTTGTAAAGCTATGAACAAAGAAAGGGAGAAAAACAGAAGGGCGGAGAAGGAGAAGCACTGGTTGTGAGGGGTCGTCCTCAAAATCAAACGAGGACAAAGAAAGGAGGATCCAAGTCAAGATCTAGACCCAGCAAAGATGAATGTGCCTTTTGTCGAGAAAAGGGGCACTGGAAGAAAGACTGTCCGAAGTTGAAGAATAAGGCCAAACATAACAATGGAAAGGCCATTATGGATTCAAATGTAGCTGATTGTGATGATTCAGACTTCTCATTAGTTACAACAGAGCCATCAACATCATCAGACATATGGTTGATGGACTCGGCTTGTAGCTATCATATGTGTCCCAACAGGGACTGGTTCGTGGATTTTCAAGAAGGAGAATATGGAGTTGTCCAAACAGCGGATAACACCCCTCTTACCTCATATGGCATTGGTTCAATACGATTAAGGAACCATGATGGAATGATCAGAACATTAACAGATGTTCGATATGTACCGGGTTTGAAGAAATATCTCATCTCTGTGGGAGCCCTAGAATCAAAAGGGTTCAAAATCATTGCAGAAAATGGAGTGATGAGAGTATGATCCGGTGCACTAGTGGTAAGGAAGGCCAATCGGAAGAACAATAAATGTACCGTTATCGCGGTAGTACAGTTATTGGGACAGCGACAGTGACATCCAGTGATGAAAAAGAGGCAGCATCAACCAGGCTATGGCACATGCGCTTGG